GAGGTCAACGTTAACTGATGGCCGAGATTGAACCTCAAAAACATGATCACTTGAACGACTAACTAACCAAGTTTTTTCACTTTTAAGAGCATTTATTAATGTTGAATCCATCTCGGGACAAAGAAAAGTATTCTATTTCTTAGCTTGTTATCTCATTCTTGACATCAAATCCATGATCTTCAACCTAATTGAATCAATCATCTTCGTAGTGGGCAAATGACGAGCTTGACGGATCCATGAATTAAAAGACTCTGCTACATTCAAGTGCATTTCACCGTATTTTTGTCCTTTAAAATATGCATTAATCCACTTGTCATAGGGCAAATTGGATAGAAACCTACAAACGATCCCTTTTCCCTCATCTTGTAATTCTTTCAAGCACTGATTAAAACATCCCACTGTCGAAGCATAAGCACATAAAGAAAATAAAAAAAACTATTCTACTCCTGAAAGTATTGCTGAAACTTGGACCGGAGAACCTATCCCTCAAATTGGCTTTCAAGTGTTTGAGACAAAAATAGTGGTAAGCAGTAGGTAAAACCTTGGGTAAAGCTTCCAAAAGTCCTGCGTTTTGATCAGATATGAAGGTAATTGGTCTTTCATCCAACAATATATTCGACAAATGCATAAAAAACCATTCCCAACTGTCTGTAGTCTCCGAATTGACAATTGCCATTGCAAGAGGGAAAAAACCTGAAAAATAACATTTTACAATTAGTAAGTATATTAAATGAAAAGGACAAATATAGTAGATTTTTACTCTGAATAATAGTAACATGTTACTATGAAAATAAGTAACATGTTACTATAAGAATAAGTAACTTGTTACTTTTGAATAAACTATAGTAATATCTACCTTGATCCCCTTCCTTCGTTGTAGTTGTTAACAAGGTGCCCTTATATTTTCCCTTCATAAAAGTTCCATCGATAAACAATAGAGGACGACGATGCCTAAACCCTTGAATGGAAGCATTAAATGCAACAAAAAACCTCTTGAATCGTCCACTTTGATGGTTATAGTCAAGACGCAAATAGCTACCAAGATTTGTGCTCATCACAATATCCATATACCATCGAATCTCATCATAAGACATAGAGAAATCTCCAAAAGTAGTAGTCCTAGTTTTTTCAACTCCCAACTAAACGTGATTATACATAATGGTGAGCCCGTATTGATCTGTAAATTGACGCACAACATCAATCGGATGAGTTTGGGGATTCCCACGAACTTCATTAACAATCAAACTTGCAACCAAATTTGAACTCACCCTTGAGTTTTTAGAAGTACGAACTGCAGCTTCACAAGTATGCTCATCGTGTAGAGTCCTACTGGAGAAAAAATTATTAGCACTTTCTAGATATGCATGTATTCGTCATAAACAAGCTTTGGACTCCCGCGTTGAACATACAATAGTGACCTGACACTTCTCATTCTTCACATACACAAACTCAAATCCTATCTCAATGGCATATTTACATAATGTAGTCCGGAAATCCTTTGCACCTCCAATAAATCTTTGACCTACATGAGTAATTCCATTCACCCATCCACAAGACAACAAAGTCCTGCGCGGTAACAGCATACATGCGCCCTGTAGGCCCCTGATCCAACTGCTCACCCCTCGGAGCATACGACTGCTGCACTAACTGGGACGACGAAGCTCCCGGATTGGCCCTCGAGGCCTGCGCAGACTGAGCTGGCTAAAAACCCTGCGTCTGCCTAGGACCAGACGCGCCCGAAGTGGCACTCAACTGTGGGCAAAACCTCTTTAGGTGCCTAGGCTGACCACACTGATAACAAGACAAGGGCTGACCCCTGCCCTGACTCTGGCTCTGCGGTCTAGCTGAAGATGAAGCAGCTCTCTAACCTCCTCCCCTTTGTGGGCAAACTGAAGCCTTGTGGCCCAATTGACCACATTTGTAACAGGTGAACTCCCCATGATTACCTCTTCCCGAGCCTGCACTCGGCACTGGAAAGGTCGACCTAGCAACACCACCCTGAGACTGTTAAGGGTTAGCACCCCTCTGTCTCCTGCCATCACCCTGACCATCTTGGCTCCTCTTGAAGCCTCTCTGTCCCTCATCTTCCTGCATCATGATCTCCATATGGGCTGCAACATCAACCAAGCGTCCATAATCTCGGATCATCGAACCTTCAACCCTCATCTTGAGGCCGCGCCTCAACCTCTTCTTGAACTCAATACAGCGGCGTTCCTCGGACGCCACAAGTTCAGGTGCGAACCTGGACAAGCTAGTGAAAGCAGCCTCATACTCGGCTACTGAAGAACTCAACTGCAAAAGCTGACAGAACTGGTCTCTCAACTTCTCCTTGACTGCTGGAGACAAATACTTCTCCTAAAAAGCCTCCACAAAAGCCTCCCACGTGCCAGCAATACGGCCCCTCATGTATTTCCACCACTGACCCGCACCCCTTTTAAGCTAGAAGGATGCCAAGGTCACTTTCAACGCTCCATCCTCGATGCCGAGTATCTCGAACGTCTTACTCATTTGCTCTAACCACTCGTCAGCCTTCAGTGGCTCCTTCGGATCCCCAATAAACTTGTCCGGGTTAGACCGGAAGAACTCCCTTTTCAAGAAGGAGGGCCCTGCCTCAACAACCTGGGCCTGAACTGGAGCCTGAACCGAATTCTCAGCTCAAAAAATACCCACAGACTCCCTCAAAGCATCGGCTATCCCTCGAGCTAAAGCGCCCATAGCCTCCTGACCTGCTGGCTCGACCACATTGGCCTGGCCCGGAATATCATCCGGTAAAGGCATCTCCTGCCTACCACGTCTGCCACGTCTACCGCGTCCTCGTCTTGACATCCTAATAAAGATAACGAAGAACGTCCGCACATAAGTGTGCCAAAACTAAACACTCGCGTCCTAATACATGGACAACTGTAATTCATTCCACGTAAGCACATAAACACATAAGTAGTTACGAATTTCATTTCCGGATAATGATAGTCCCGAGGCGTTACTAGAGTTCCAGTTAGAAACAGCATTGATTAAGTGTTTTTCCAACAAGACTCACAGAAACCCAAGGATCCAATCAACATCCTAGAAACTAAATCCCATACCCAAGTAATCACATAAACATGTTATCAAATAAATACATAATGTCACACATAAGTCTCTAACAAGCGAGACAAACCCATTGTGATACTAATCACTTCCCACGTACCCAAAGTATTCGAACTCGGTACGCTCTGATACCAAGTTGTAACGCCCTCAAAATAATGACATTAAAACCCATCAACTTAGACATGCATTGGTATAAAAGATAAATATTCTTCTATTTATCAGAGTAGTCCCTTATAAAAGTATTACATGTTAACGACAAAGGCAAATGCCCTACGAGCTTACAACTTTCTAAGTTAACACTTGGTTACAAAAAGAAGAGTGCTAACTCAATACATATTAAGCCCTTGGCTTGAATTTACATGTAATACATCAAAAAAAAGCAAACAACAAAACAGTCTGTCTGCCTCTAACCTTCCAAGCTATGTCTTTGGAGGTGACATGCTACCTGTACCTGAAAATGATGTCCCATAAAGGGTGAGCCACAGCCCAGTAGAAATACACTAAACCAGCCATGAACAATGACTAAAAGATTAGCAGTTGATAGATGGTCAACACTGATACATCCATATATATCACATTTCGATTTCATGACATTAAGCCCATGTTACATTTCATTTCCCATGTTCCTTCCAATTTTGATTTTTTGAAAACAAGGCTCAACACCTAGCCAAATAACTTAATGAGGTTTAGACTCATCTTTAAAACACTTTCAAAATTCATGACGGATACACATTTTAATGCTGTATCAATAACACATAAACCATCCCCACACTTTGAGAAAGGTACACATTTCGATGCTATATCAACATAACATAGAATCACTTCTATACTTTACAATTGATAACGATATACATTTTAGTGCTATATCAAATCAATTCAAACACTTCCATAAGTCTCAAATAATATACATTGTAGTGCTGTATTAATGAAACAAAACACTTTTAATTCGCAGTCTGATACACATTGTAGTGCTGTATCACTGTTACACAAAATCCGGTTTAGAGGTCCATCCCCTATCTTCCCCTAAACCACGGAGTACATCCCCCATCTCCTCCTACAAAACACATGTATATAAGCATAGATCATATACAATCAATCAATACATAGAATTAATGTATTATTTCAGTTGCTATATTCAATAGCATACTTAATCGATTAGTTTTAGTTTGCCTAATCATCATGCAGTGCCTACAATAATCAAGACTATCATCCACCGATAGCCCAAAGCAGTTATTTCTATACTGAAAATAAATGCACCAAATGGATATATAATCAACATTTCAACCTTTCATTCTAAACAGAGCACATACCAGAGTAAAATTTTACTATAATTTTCTCAAACAAAAAACAGAGCAATAGAACCAGGGTAAAATTTTACTCTGATTCTGTCAAACGAAATCAGATCAAACATAACAAAAAAAAATCAAAAAAAAAAAAAATAAACAAAACAAAAAAAATTAATCAACAAATCAACATACCTAATTGAGAAGAAAAACCTCTAAAACTCAATCAACAGTCATAAATCTCAATGAAACTTTCATTTAATTGAGAGTGTTGATCGTCTATTATTGACCAAGTGAGAGATCTTCGGCTGCGAGATCTTCAGATTTGGAGATCGTCATCATCAATTTCGTTCCTTATATCATTCCTGTGAGATCATTAGTTCAGATTTCAAATATTTCAAATGTATGATACGTATATATAGAAGAGAAACATTGTGATTAAAAAAAATGTAAAAATTATAAAATGTCTTTATTAAGATAGGCATTTCCTATTTAAGAATTTTTTTGAAAGAAAATTGATTAAATTATCCTTTATCCTAATAAAAAGACAAAAAAGAGAGCTTCACCACCAAAAATAAATAAATAAATAAATAAATAATCCCTTTAATAAATTATTTGGGTGTCTAACATTAATCTTATAACAGCCAGATGCTACTGCTGCCGCTTCTTCTGCTCATCATCGTCAATTAACCACTGGTACTAGCAAGAGAAAAAGAAGAAGAGCAAAGTAAGATTATGGAATTTTCATCTTTCTAAATTGTAAGTAAGTATTCGCTCCCCAAAAACCCTATCTATACTCTCTCTCTAAACCATTACCATTTCCATATGAAATCCATCACTTCACTTGTTAAATTAATTCTCTTTCACCTTCCCATGAAATTGAAATTGTTCTCCCATCCATCCCATTATTAGTTAACCAGGACAACGACCACACTATGATTCGTCTTTTCGGTCGTCTTCTGTGCCCTAGAAATCTCAAACCTACTAGGTATCTTTTCAACTCTGCCCAAAAAAGTATTACGAAAAGCCCTAGTTTTGATTCATGTGCAGATTCTTCAACTTTCCCTATAATAATATTTAGGCAATCTAATTTTGTCCGGAGCTACTGTTGTTCTCGGAATAACACCGTTGATTCTTCCACTGTGGTGTGGACTGACGATATAATAGAGTATTTAGATGAATCCGGTGGGGTTATTTTTTCCGGTAAGGGCATAAGATCGGTTGAGCCTGGTCTTGATGACCATGTCATGGTCGGTGCCTTCAAGAAGCCATTTTTGAATGCTTCTGCCGTCGCCAAAATTGTGGAAATTGTCAAACGCTGGAAATGGGGTCCCGAAATGGAGACCCAATTGGACAGACTTCAATTTGTCCCAAACATGACTCATATTTCTCAGGCCTTGAAGGTTATCTCTGACACTGATGCTTCCTTAAGTTTGTTTCGTTGGGCTATGAGGCAATCCTGGTACTCCCCTTGTGACGACTGTTATGTTACGCTCTTTGACAGGTTGAACCAGACCAGGGATTTCGATGGGATTCAGTCACTGTTTGATGAGATGATTCGCGATTCCGGTAACACTGGAATGTCTTCGTTCTGTGCATTTAATCGGGTCATTCAATACTTGGCAAAAGCTGAGAAATTGGAGGTATCTTTCTGTTGTTTCAAGAAGGTTCACGAATCGGGTTCCAAGATAGATACTGAGACGTATAATTCACTTATAACCTTGTTTTTGACCAAGGGTTTGCCTTATAAGGCATTTGAGATATACGAAAACATGGAAGAGGCTGGGTGCTCGTTGGACGGATCAACATATGAGTTGATGATACCAACTTTGGCGAAATCAGGCCGTCTTGATGCTGCTCTCAAGCTTTTCCAAGAAATGAAAGAAAACAATGTCCGGCCGAGTTTTCTCATATTTGCCTCGCTTGTTGATTCAATGGGCAAAGCTGGGAGGTTGGACACCTCCATGAAGTTATACATGGAAATGCAAGGTTTGGGGCTAAGGCCATCTGCGACCATGTTTGTTTCCCTAATTGAGTCATTTGTTAAGGCTGGGAAGTTGGAGACGGCTCTTAGGATTTGGGATGAGATGAAGAAGGCAGGGTTTAGACCTAACTATGGGCTGTATACAATGGTTGTTGAGTCTCATGCAAAATCTGGAAAACTTGAGATTGCTATGTCTATTTTTTCAGATATGGAGAAGGCTGGGTTTCTACCCACCCCATCTACCTATTCATGTCTCTTGGAGATGCATGCTGCTTCTGGTCAAGTAGATGCTGCCATGAAGCTGTATAACTCAATGACCAATGCAGGTCTGAGACCGGGACTAAGTACTTATACTGCCCTTCTGACACTTTTGGCAAATAAGAAACTTGTAGATGTTGCTGCTAAAATCTTACTCGAAATGAAGGCTATGGGTTATTCCGTGGATGTGAGTGCTAGTGATGTTCTAATGGTTTATATCAAGGATGGTTCTGTCGATCTTGCTTTGAGGTGGCTACGTTTCATGGGGGCATCCTCTATCAGAACGAATAATTTCATAATCAGGCAGCTTTTTGAGTCATGCATGAAGAGTGGTTTGTATGAGTCAGCCAAACCTCTTCTAGAAACTTATGTCAACTCTGCTGCAAAAGTTGACCTTATACTTTACACATCAATTCTAGCTCATCTTGTGAGATGCCAGGAAGAGCAGAATGAGAGGCATTTGATGTCAATCCTTGGTGCTACAAAGTATAAGGCACACAGCTTCATGTGTGGACTCTTTATGGGCCCAGAACACAGGAAACAACCTGTATTATCCTTTGTGAGGGATTTTTTCCAGGGCATTGATTATGAGTTAGAAGAGGGCGCTGCCAGGTACTTTGTCAATGTTCTCCTAAATTACCTTGTACTTATGAGCCAGATAAACCGAGCTCGTTGTGTGTGGAAAGTTGCATATGAGAATAAGCTTTTCCCAAAGGCCATAGTGTTTGATCAGCATATAGCTTGGTCACTTGATGTCAGAAACTTGTCTGTTGGAGCAGCTCTCATAGCTGTAGTTCACACCCTCCATAGGTTTAGGAAGCGGATGTTGTACTATGGGGTTGTCCCAAGAAGGATCAAATTGGTCACTGGACCTACTCTAAAGATCGTGGTTGCACAGATGTTGAACTCAGTAGAATCACCTTTTGAGGTTAGTAAAGTTGTTTTGAGGGCCCCCGGGGATTCTGTTTTGGAGTGGTTTAAAAAACCAATTGTTCAGCAATTCCTTTTGAATGAGATTCCATCAAGGGCTGACATCCTTATGCACAAGCTTAACACACTTTTTCCTAGTTCTGCACCTGAAATTAGATCTCTGTCTCCTCCCAAGCCACTTATTACAGGGAATGCAATTTAAACATCCACAATATTTGGGAATAACTACAGGTTATTTGTTTGTGGAAATGAGGCTGCAAGTCATTCTGTTTTGAGTGATTCTGATATTTTTTATGCTTTTGCTTTGGTTATTAATTTACATGGTATGTAATTTGGATGATGATGCATTTGTAAAATTGTGATATCTTTCAAATCTTGAGATGTTTATGCCCATTCGAAGAGTAGTGTTATTTGAAGTCTATATTTCTTTATTTTTTATTTTTCTTGGTGAAAAGATGGTCAGAAATGAATAGCTTTTTGAATTCTGAGGCATTTTCACCCATTTTGAGGATTGCCTTATGATAGATGCTCTTTCATTATTAACATCCAATCCACTACTAATATGATAAAGAGAGATTGCTGGCCAACGGTCACTCGCAAGCTAACTGTACTGGTTTCCATGATTCCTTGTATGTCATGCACTTTTATTCTCAGTTTTATTTTTTATTTTTAATTTTATGAGAGAGAGAGAGAGAGAGAGAGAGAGAGAGAGAGAGAGTTGTTTGTTATGGTTTTTTACCTTCTCCTATTTTGAGTCATGAATAATCACCTGTTGTCATCTGATATGCTACGTGGCTTACAAATTTTGTGGATTTGACGGGTTATGTATACTCAGTGCAAGAATTATCATGTTATCTATATCTTGCACATTGTCTCCTTGACACTGGAAGTTTTCATTACTTACATTTTTCTTTCATTGGGTGACTTACATGTTTTTGGTACTTACCTTTTAATTTGGCCTTCATGTTCCACCATGCTAGACCCTAAGGTAGTACTGCTATTCTCCCACGTGTTTGGCGATTTTCTTTAGCTTAGATGAACTAAGTATTCAATTTTCTTATGTCTGATGAAAAAAAGGCGACCATTTGCTTTTCCTTAAATAATTTTAACTGACTTGAAATTGCCAATCTAACCATAAATAAATAAAAACTGTCAACGGTCTTTTTCATGCCACGTGCTATTGATTGGTCTTTCTTTTTCGGATAAATTACAAATGCACACTCTGAGTTTTGCTTAAAATATGATTTACCCCCTATGGTTTTGGAAATTACATTTCGTCCACTACTAGAAAAAGGGATTTTTGCTTCTATTTTTTTGCGTTGGCTATTTTGCAGTCGCAAATAATATGTATTAACGACTGCAGATGTGTTTTAACGACGGCACATTCGCGGTCGCAAAAGATGGGTCACTAGTAACACATTAGCAATGAGTGAAGTTAATATTTATTAGGATTTGGTTTCACGCTAGTCATTGTTTCTTCCAACCATTTCAACCCTAGCCACTCCCTCAACTCTACGCTCTCTCCCTCAACTCTCTCTCTCCACCTCTGATTGTGTCTCCACCTTTGATCGCCACTGACGCTCTTTCTAAGATCGAGATGGTGAAGGAGCAAGTCCCTGAATGGCTCAACAGCTCTGCCCTCCTCCTCCACCACCTCACCACTCTCACCTCGACCATGACAACACCAAATTACCTCCACCACCACCACTGCTTCTTCTTCTTTGTCATCCATTGAGCGATCATAGTGATAGTGGCAGCTCTGGGAGTAATTTGGCTGAATACATGTCTTGCGAAGGTCAGCTTTTACAAGAGGTTAGCATAGATCTCTCTCTATATAAATTTCATTTAATTTTATGTTCTACTTAGTTCATTGATGCATGTATCCTTCAATTTAGGCTATTTAGCTAACCTCTTGTATACATCAAAGGAAATGAGAATATCACATGTTCTCTCTCTCTCTCTCTCTCTCTCTCTCTATGTATGTATATATATATCACTTCTATTTAATTTTAGGTTTTTGGCCATTCCATTGCCACTTCTTTTCTTCAATTTAGTATAATAAATAAGGCCTCCGTGTGTTTGGCTATGATGAATTGTTATAAGGATGTCAATTTTAGGGTTCTGTTTTTAGTGTGATTTGATTGGCAGTGGAGAATGGGATCTCTTATTCACCTGATCAAATTGTATGAATATGCCGTTTGTTTACCGTGCGTTGTGTTGTGAATATTTGACTTTTTATGAAGTCAATGGATGAGTGATAATAGCTTCAAAGTCCTTTTAAAGTAAAAATATGCAGCAAATTTGTTGACAAATTCTCAGGAGATAAGAAAGTTTTTTAACTTGCAGGACCTTTAATGGTGATTATTGGTTTAGATAAGGTATATGATAGGTTTCCTAGATAACATTAAATTCTCAGGAGATAAGAAAGTTTTTTAACTTGCAGAGCCTTTAATGGTGATTATTGGTTTAGATAAGGCATATGATAGGTTTCCTAGATAACATTATGAGCTACTAGAAAGATATAATGTAGATAGTTTTGGATAATAAAGGAGTATTAGTTAGATATGTTGATGCAATTAAAGATATGTAAAACTGAGTTGTAAACATGTGAATTTCTAATAGTAATAGGTTTACATCAAGGATCGATACTAAGTCCTTACCTTTTAGCATTAGTTATAAATGAATCTATTAGGAACATTCAAGAGGATATCATATTATTTGTAGAGTGTATAGTTTTAGTTGATGACATAAGAGGAGTAAACTTTAAGCTAGAATTGTGGAGAGAGAATTTAAAATCTAAAGAATTTAAGTTAAGCTGGATTGAGACAAATTTTTAGTAAAACTAGAAATAGGAATGATTATGTTACTGTTGCATGTGTCCAACTAGAGTCATAGATGTGAGTGACACTTTTGTAAAACTAGAAATAGCAGGCTTGTTTGTGCTTCCTAGGTTGTATGTTACTGTTGCATGTGGACATTTGAGTTGCATGTAAGGATGTTATGTTCAGCTATTTTCTTTATCAATATTGGGATTAATTATATCTGTTATTCCTTAGAAGATTTTTGTACCCTCCCTTTTGGTCATACATGCTGCTAAAATCCTGATATTTTGCATGCTTATTCCTCTATGCAGGGAAAATTTCATTGTTGAACAAAACCAGTTTAATTATACAAGCATATTCGTACAGGCCGTTCTTATGATCACTGTATACAATTTGTTTTAGGAAAGTTGTAAGAGAAGCAGCCTCTGGAGGGAGAGATGCAGAACATGTGAAGCTAAAATTGGAGATCAAAGTTGAGGTAAGATAATGTTAAGACCTTCAACAGTTGTCTGGTAAATGCCCAAGAGAAAATAGTTTTTGTCATTTTATTAAAGTATAGAGTGATTCAATTAGAATTGAGGTGATGAAAGAAGAGATCACTGCAGCTTGTCAAAAATAGTTGGGTTGTTTGAGATGACTTGGAAGTCACATGTAATTTGTGCTTTCTTTTGCAACTTGAGTCTGTTATGGGTTGACCAACCTCAATCCAAGTACTTTACTGAGTCAAATTGGCCTTTGCTGGGTTTTTGTACAATGATATGTGTTTCAAATGACATGAAATGAGTGTATGAGCTGCACAACCCTGCTTGGGTTGACATGCACGAGCCTGTTTTTTTTTTAAGAGGATGAAGACGTGCCAGATCATTGTAGGATTATGGGATGGGTTATGCCTTGTCCTCCTTTTCCTCTTTGTACTCTTTTTTTTCTTTCTTTCCTGTCTTAATGATATTTTTCGTTCGTTGTTGATCAAAAAGAAAATTTGAGTTTCATCAAGTATAATTTGCCAACCGAAAGTATGCACTACCTTCTTATAAGTTATAAATACACGCGCGCACAGATTTTGATAATGGCTGAGAAGGATTCATAAGCTTATATGTATGCACGTGCTTATGTTGGAACTGCATTTTTATACAGCATACCTACAGACCTTTTTAACTAAGATACTAATATTAAACAATGGATCCTCATTTGTGAATTTTTTATCAGGTTGTGGATTATGACAACAAGGGTCTGTCTTGCGTATACGTGGAAAGAATATCCTGGAGAATGAACATGTAAAGGTAGGTGAGACTCAAATCAAGTCCATTTATATGGGATAAGAAAGTTTAGCTGATTAGTCCATTTCCATTGAAAATTTTATAGTTTATTTTTTGGTTGATATTACATCCTTGGAACTGATTTTATTATTTTTTTTTATTATTTATTTTGTTTGTTTTGTGTCTTTTGAATCATATGCTCACTAACTGCAATTTTCTTGCTGTGTATTGGAGAAAGCTCCTTGCGTTGCAAAGCCTACGTATCCATTTGTTGAAATGTATGCGAGAGTAAAGACAGAGCCGATACAGAGAGAGAAGAGGCGAGCCACGTTTCCATCCCGAAGACACTGGAGCACTCACACCTCTCCCTTCCACCCACTAGGTTCAGGTTCGTTTTTTAGATGTCAGGGTTTTATTTTTTGATTTGGGGCTTTTCAATCTTTTGTTTTGTTTTTTGTGTGTTGTATGACTATATATTATGGCATGAAACTTCTTGAATCAAGTTTGAATTTCGATTCATTTTAATTATGGCTTAGGTGGTGTTTTATTTTTTAGGGCTCTTATGTAATCTGTGTGCACTCAGGAAACTCTTTAATGTTTATCTCAATTGGGGAATGAACCATTAGTACTAAAATAATCTACTGTATTGAATTAGCCGAGAGTATTTGCTGTTTCACTACTTAAATTTTTATTCTCCATCTTGCTACAGGAGACAGAGAGACCACGAGCTAGAGATGTGGCTGCCACTACCAGTGCTATTGCTGAAACCAAGGGACATAAGTTCCACGATAAAGAAGAAGAAAAACGTAAGGATTTGTTCCAACCTCTGGCCAAAGGTGCATATTTGTGCACCCACCCACAATTATGATTTGGAGGAAGAGGATCACTTTTATAATGATGGCTTCCACACACTGACTAGCGAAGAGGTTCAAATGTACACTGATATGGTCAACCAGAGTGAGGTATTCCTGGCCCCTAGGATTAGGATTTTCTATTATAATGATTCTATTTTGATTTTTCTATATATTTTTTTGTATTTTTTTTTATAACTATATCTATATATACAGGGATTTGATGCTCCCAATGTCACGACCCCAAACCGTCCCTAGTAGTTTGGTACCGTGATGGCCAGTAATCCGTAATTACCGAAGGCCAACTTCCAAAATTCACACACAATCAGAGTATAATATACGGGCTCACAAATGCGGAAGCGATAAATCATAATGCAAGTGGTCCATAAGAGCAGTGCATAAGTCAAATGGAATGGCATACATCTTTACAGAGCTTTACAACTTGAACATAATTAAAGTCAAGTACAAAAATACATATTACATCTTACAAAGGGCTTTCACAAGCCGAC